GAGGGAGAGGGGAGGTAGGTGCAAAAGGAGGAAGGAAGCATGAGAAGATTTACTAACGAAATATGAATGTTAAAACACAATCATCTCCCTAATTTGGCGATATCTGAATGCATAAGACGCTGCACCGTTTAGCGCACGACTCATTGTAGAGATTTGATTGGTCAAAAAAGGCGTTCGCATTGTTGTTCATTGGTATATGAACAGCTAGTCCCGTTTCTGTAGGCTCTCGAGACTGCCAGTTACGACATTTCGCCCGTGCGGCAAATTCATAATCACCATTCAAATAAACCGGCTTTGCTCCTATCCAAGCACAAGGCACAGTAGGATCAGAATCCAATTCCTTTCCATCAAATGTGTAAATAGAGGCCATTGGGGCCTGCTGGGCATTGATCATGTGCATGAAATCATCGAATATAACATCGCCCTAGACACATAAATGACATGAGGCATTATTCATAGTGTTCTACGCATTTTAGTCAGCCAATCGAAATCGTTCGGTCTTACCCTAATGTTAACGATGGGCATATCATATCTGTACATTGGTGGTACGACATAGTCCATGCTGAACATATCAGTGTTCATGAGAGGGTAGAATATGTGAGAGACATTGTAGCGCTTGGCAGCTCGCTGACATGCGAAAATGGCACTTGAATGTCCTCCACTTAATTTTGCACCAAATCGAAGCTGTCCGTTTAGTGGCTCATTATGGCCAACCAGTATTAGCTGTCGAGTAAATGGAAGATAATGATTTATCCGGCAGTGCTACTTATCATTTATTAGTATATGGACTTACACTCCTTCCGATAAGATTTTCTGACAAAGTTGGCTTTACAGTGGTTGTGGTTGTCTAAAATGCAGTAATAAATTATAAAGTTTGCAGCACATTACAAATGTTAGTACAATTGAACAGAATTAGGGGCAGCTGCAAACTAATCATATAATAACGAAGGCTAAACTAAATTTATATTCACAATTTTCATACATTGATACAAATTTGATTATTTACCTAACTCCTATCAGAGAAAATAATTCATTTAATTGAATGAAACTATAATTAAGCACTCCTTTGCTTCATTTACATTCATATATAATTTTAATAGGCTTTTCAATCAGGCTTGCATTCAAAACAGTATAATTTATTGAAACCTCTCTGAATCCTATTTAGAAATTAATCTAACCAATGAAATAATAAATAGTAAATAATTATTTCAGTATATATACAAAAGGGATTTAACATATTAGGTTGACAACTAAGTCATTACCGATTTCAAATAAGAAGGCAAATTCGGAATTTTTGTTTAAAAATATAACTTTATTCAATTAGATATTGGCTGTTCTTGTCGATGACCTTTTTCCATCGTTCTGGCAGAGTAAAAATTCCCCATTCGTTAAATGTCTGGTCTTTGCTATTAAAAAACTGAATTAGGTGTGATCCGACATCATCCGCGTTGTTACAAATTTTACCATTTAAAGAGTTTTGCATGGAACGAAACAAATGGTAATCCGAAGGCGCAAGGTGAGGGCTATATGGTGGGTGTGACAAAACATCCCAACCCAGTTCCAATAATTTTTGCCGAGTAACCAAAGATGTGTGGGGGGGGGCCTTGCGTTATCATGATGGAAAACAACACCCTTCCGCCGATTTGATAATGCCGGCCGCTTATCTTCAATTGCATCCTTCAGTTTTTCGAGTTCTTCAATATACACATTTGAATTTATCGTTTGGTTCTGTGGCATGAGTTCAAAATACAAAATTCCTTTGTGATCCCACCAGACTGACAGCATAATCTTTTTTTGGTGAATCTCTGCTTTTCATACTGTTTGGGCTGGTTGATCTTGCTTCACCCATGATCTCTTGCGAGTAACATTGTTATAAACTATCCACTTTTCGTCGCCAGTAACTAGGTTCTTCAGAAATTGATCATTCTCATTGCGTTTCAGTAGCGAATCACAGATGCTAATCCGTCGCGTCAAATGAATTTCCTTTAACTGGTGAGGGATCCATAAATCAAGTTTCTTGACATAACCAAGGGTTTTTAATTTTTTTTTTTTCAATGCATGTATGCGACACATTGAGCTTCTCTGCAATATCTCGTGTTGTGCTGTGACGATTTGAATCGATAATGGCCTTGATATGGGTTTCATCCACTTCGACTGGGCGGCCAGATCGTTGTGAATTTTTCAGTGAAAAATCACCGGAACGAAATCTTTCAAACCAATTTCGACACTGCCTTTCTTTTAAGGCTTCATCTCCATATACGGCACATAACTTCTTTTGTGCTTGCGATGCATTCTTGCCTTTTCGAAAGTAATACAATAAAACGTGTCGGGAGTGCACGTCCTGTTCTTTCATTTATTGGGATAAAAACAAAACTAAAGACTAACATTTTTAAATTGGGATAAAAACAAAACTAAAGAGCTAAACGGGATAAAAACAAAACTAAAGAACTAAACAAAAAAATTTTAAAAAATAATTGGGATAACAACAAAACTAAAGAACTAAACAAAAAAGTTTTTACTAATTAACCTAGAAGCATACAGTAAGAAAGAAATATAGGTTAGATGCTCTGTCCACGCGAGAATCTGTCAACAAAAACGGCAATGACTTAGTTGCCCACCCAATAGATAGATTTCCGATGGTTTAAAAAACAGGTTGATTTAGGTTGCAGCAATATGAAATCTCTTCATTGCATAAAATAACTGAATTATCTTAGCCATTCTTAAAAGTATAAATGACAAAACTGACGCTTTAAAATGAGAAATAAAAGCAAACATGTTTAGTTACCAAATTAAAACTTAATAAATGAATAAATCTTACCGTTGCAGGTTCGGGAATATGAACTGATTCGCTTTGTGTATTCTGAAATAAGAATTACGGAACGAATAAACTAATTAACTCGTATTGATGCTAAATTTCGGTGCAATAATGAAATCCTAAATCTATATCCATGGAACTTTTTGTTAAACTGGTTTCTTTGAACATGGCCGAAAACCTGCGAATATTTAGATTAAATGCGTTTCTTATCCCTACAGGAATTCATACCATCCATTTACTGCTGAAAATTAATTTAGTAGTATTAAATTTCCAACTCCATTTTTAGGCTTAGTACCTTTTGAAACAGATATGAACCATTTCAATCTTTTACACGGCCTTAAAACAGCTTGATTTTAAATTTAGATTTCAATTCTTTCCCATGTGATCGTTCACAAAGTGGAAACGCTGCATTTCATTGCTCCAAATTCAATTCAAAATATATCGAGAAGATGCAAATAAATTTTGCTTCAATCATATACTGCTAAATCTTTTTCGTTACTTATATAATATCACATTCACTCTAAGTATCTAGCTTACGCATACTTCATCGAAGGCCTTGAACTATCTTACTAGGAATCAGAGCGCATTGGCAAAACGTCATGCATGAATTGTTCTGACGAGTTCGCTTTATGTCAGCTAAACGTTCTAAAATTGCGAAGCTGGGTTTCTGTGCTATCCCTCAATATTTTCACCTAAAATTCAACCATGTGACCATATTAATCCTTTATTAACGAAAGTGAGAGATGATGATGATTTTCGGTGGGCATTCAGCCAATGAACAAAGAACATAAAACCATTTAACCCCGAATCCTGGCTAAATTTGCTCTGTTTCTAACACTCCGGGGTACCACTCAAACAGTGTCGACGATTGTTTACTTTCTATCCAAATTCATTTTTTCATTCCTCTTCTTCTATAATGGCTTTGTAGGTGCCTGACATGGTATTACTTAATAGAAAAAGTACTATGTTGGGACTTTTTCTAAATGAGCACCACATATTCCAAATGGCACTCCAAATTTAAAACTAAGTATTTTTCCAATAACGAAACTCTAACTAGAAGTGTTGTTTGAAATTTTATTCAACTTTATGATTAATTAATTAGTAATATGTCAATTCCTTGTGAATTATTTTAGTAATGAAAATTAAATCGAAATATATTATCTCACAATAGTCAAAATTAGCAATGAAGTGCATCAGAACATTATCGAACTTTTACAATTTTACTAAATACAAGACTGATTACTTAGTTCACTTCTTCTCTATCTTGATTAATTCATTTTACCACGATCTCAGTCTCCTATACATTTTGAGATAAAGTCAGTAGAAATAAGTTTGATATGGTTGCCCACTTGACGACTCATATGAAGTTGTTTTCGCCTAATAGAATCATCATATAACGCAAGGCATTAAATACATGTTTGGCTAACTTGCCATATCAATGGTTCGCCAGATGTTCTCTTTTTCATCAACTTTGAGATAGAACATATTCTCCGTATTTAAGTAGACCATGCTTCCAAGAGCAAGACCGCTGGCAATTTTCGTTAGTGTGGTCTTATTGCTCATGATGATTGCCTGCAATAAAAATACTTAATTAGTGCAACGAAATTAACGAAATTTTAGTAGTCATTTAAAAAGTATGAATAGCCAACCCCATTAGACATATCCTTAAGGGCACCAAGAATGTGCTTTGAAGAAGAGCTGACATTGTATGCCGGTGGTGTTTCTGGGCTTGGACAAGAGCAGCCGTTGTTGACCGGACAGTCGCATTTAGGTTTGTAAAGCTCCATAATTTCCTGCAACCGAACATTCAAGAAACTGATTTCAAAACGAGGAGGGGGGGGGGAGCAGAGGGAAAAACTTCACCGTGAAATTCCACTTACCGGCCGCTCAAAGTATTCGTCAATAATATCTCGCACGACTTGGAGAAATGACGGTGTCCTAAATAATTCATCGTATATTTTGTCCTGAAAGTAAGGCAGAGATTCAATAGTAACTATAGTAATCAAAGCTGCTTTACATTAAATTAGAAACTTACTTTTGTGTCAAGATCCGCAGCCTGTAATTAAACGCGAATAAAAATAGGCATTCATTTGAGTATACATAGAAAGAAATGATGCTTTTTGGCCAAAAATTAAAACAAATTTAGTAAAGTTTGCTGCTGCTCACTTTATTTTCACGAAGTTTTTCGACAAGGTCCTGAAAAAGAAGCAAGGAAATTGTTGATATTTTTCCAATAATGACTAAAGTTTCATGAATAATTATGATTTAAATGAGAAGTTAGAAATGATTAACATTTATTATCATAAAATTTCGGTTATTAAAATATTTTTGTTAACTTACAGGAGTCAGTATCTTCTCAAGGCAATAACAATCCGGTTTTAACTGAAAAATGGAATTATTTAATTAGTTCAAACAAAATACTGCATAGTTTTTAATAATGCGGCTAATGTTTGCCTAAATCATAATAAAAAGTTTAAACGCTAACTTTCGGTTAAATTAAAACTCTCGAAACTGCAATATTTATAAACCTCGCATTTGTTCACAATAGAGATTTTTCAAATAAAGTTCATTTCTCTCACTTTGTGAACTGCAGTGAAATAAAGTAACAAATAATAACAACTCACGATTTCAAGTGGCGCTAAAATTAAATAAAAGAGAGTACTATAAAGACAACTATGGATTAGCTTGCATTTAACGTGGCTAATTTAGACTACTTACGTTGATCTTTGATCTGAATGGTGGGGTATAATAGAGAGGAAATAAAAAAAATCGGTTAGTTTGGATTTAGGCAATAGATATTGCAAGCGTAAGCAAAGCCCAAACATAGCAGCAAATGTCAACAAGATGCAAAAATTAACACAATGTAGATGAGAAAGGAAAAAGTGCTCATAAGACCACTATATGTCATGCATCACTCCGGGATAAGCAGGTTAAGAAAGCTTTGTTTCGCCCCATATTCTATTGCACTCCGAACTTGAGGCAAAGTGAGCATCAGCATACCAAAATTCTCAAGTGATCCGCAGAATTATGATGACATTACCGTTGAAGTAGCATTTGGAACTTCGGGGAATTCAGTCCACTCCGAGTCTTCGGGTTCACTGACTTCTTCCGCATCTGTAGGAACTTCGCTATCTGTTTGTTTAGTAAGTGGATTTGGTGTAACTTCAGATGAGTCAACGGTCATTTGAGAATCGGAAGAAACATCAGATGTTTTAACCTGTAGAGTTGCTGTTTCCTCTTGATCACTGAAAGTAACAGACGTAGTCTCAGATCCCGCAGATTCAATGATGTCTGTTTCGCCTTCTGAAATACCTGTGGTGAAGTCATTCGTGGTTGTTGGCATTTCAGTTGAAGAAATATCTTGGTCCTCACTAAAAGTCACGTTTTCAGTGGTGTCATTTTTATCATTTGAAGTATGTGTAGTTACTTCCGAAGTTTCAGTAATAAACTCTCCATGATCTTGACTCGTTACCGGGGTTTGTATAGCCTCAGGCGTTGTAGACGTCGAACTCTCCTTTGAAGGATCAGATTGATCATCATTCGATTCTGTTAACGGTTCAGTTCCAGGATGAGCTGTTACGTTCATTTCAGAGGACATGGTTTCTGTGAAAATTTCTTCCGATGAGAGAGCAGAGGAAGATTCACCAGTCGTAACATCACTGGTATCTGAGACCTCTGGGCTTTTAGTGACTTCCATTTCTGTAGTAATTTCATTCTCGGGAGTTGATTCTACTGTTGTTAGAGTGATGGTTTCTTCGCTCGTCTCCTGTGCAGCAACATCAGTTATAATTTCAGGTTCTAGGGTAGTTGTTAGAATTGTTTTGACTTCTCCAGTTTCTTTATTTATAGTTCGAACTATTCCACTGAGAGCATCAATTGATAGAGCCTCATAGTCATTACCTGTGGTAGGCAGTCGAATTTCATCACCGTTGGCTAAATAGATTATACTGTCTATTATCTCTTGAACCAACTGTATTTCAGCCGAAATGGCATTCTGAACTGTAAATTCTCCATGAAACGTGTCCACCTGGATTGCCATATTCCCGGACAAAATTTCTAAGAGTGCGCCTTCACTATAGTTTCTCATTATTTCTGGAGGAATTCCCTGCGAGGATTTCTGGGACATGATAACAGTCCCTGTTTCCAAATTAACCAAACTCGTCGTTCCGTCATCTAAGTTTATCGAAATGCGAACATTATTAGCGGCTTTATCTGGGGGTGAAATGCCTTGGACATCTCGAATTGGAAGGGATGACCCATTCTCAAATTGAATATAGCCATTGCTTATCCAGGCTTCTTCAACTATTCGGTTCTCTTCGGTATTAAGGATTTTAACTGACATATCTGAGAGATCTACAATTGGAATTAAATATCCATGTTCTGCTTGGCTGATAGTATCACTCGTATATGATATAATTGTAGACAAAGTTGAAGTGTCATTTTCTGACGCAATTTGGGCAGTTGACGGATATTCATCATCAGCGAGAGGACTGGGGGTAGTTGTTGGTTCTTCTGTCGTTGTGATTATTTCAGTAGCGGTAGTGGTCGTATCGGTATTCTATGACATAAGGAAAGACTTAAAGGGATGAATTAATGTGAAAAGCCTATAAAAAAGAGAGGATTAGTGAAAGGGTTATTAGAAAAACAGTCTACATGACCCATTCAGTGTTAACTAAACTACTCGTGCGATAGTGAAGAATAAGCATATGTGCTTAATTATTACTTTCTAAAACACATTCAGTCAGAAGGTACTTAGAACTAATGATTATTGGGTGGTAAGTGACCAAAGAATAAACAGAAAGAGGTGGCGTAGTGCTGAGCTATTTGGAAACATGAACTAAAGGGTGCCGCAAGCAAGGCTAGATAGCTAGAGAGAGGGATCCTCCCGCATAGCATCACCTGCAGTCCTGAATCGACGATACTTCGAGAAAGCATCTGGCAAAAAGAGATAATCATCGGGTCGCAGTTGGATACCGGAGTAGATGTTGGGGAAGTGGAAGACAATTTCTCTGAAGCTGAGTCGGTTTGGAAAGAAGACAAAATTTTTTCTTCACCTAAATCAGTGGGTGAAAGTGTGTTTTCAGTAATCTCTGCGGCCACTGGTTCAGATTCTACTTCAGATTCATTGACAACTATTGATTCAGCAGTTATCGTTTCGCCAGGATCAAAAGGTGTGAAATCTGTGGTAACATTTATAATTTCTATTGTTGCAAACTGCTCCGCGTTGGTAGCAATAGATTGCAACATTGCTTCATCAGTTTCTTCGGTGGAACTTGAATCACTGGATCTAACACCCTCCAAATAAGTCGATTCCTCAGTGATACGATATGCTGTGGACGTCTTCTCAGTATTAAAGGCTGCTGGACTTGATCCAGAGCTTTCATGGACGCTTTCAGTTTTAGATGCAAAGGTTAAATCTTCAACCCCTTTTATCGTTGTTTCGTTTCCAACATCAATAGCTTCAGTACTGATGTACTCTTCCATCTTTTCTGTTACTATCGTTTTCTCACCTTCAGAAGATGCTTTCCATGTGATTTTAGTGTAACTATTTTCACTGGTTTCAACTTCTTCTTGAGAAGATTCCATTCCATCTTCAGAAGTGGTTGAACTTGATCCCAAACTTTCATTACTGTCTAGATTTTCATCTACCGCCTTTGCATCTTCAGTCTCGTTAAGTTCAGCGCTTAACTCAGTGCTTTCAAATTCATTAATCGTGCTCTGTTCTGCATACTCAAGATTCTCCGTTTTAGCAGCATTAGGAAGAAATGAAGTTGTGACCGAGATATCTGAAGTGTCCTGTTTTTCATGAACCAAACTTGTGCTTTCATGCTCACTGGATATGAAATTCGAATCTGAAATTTTTGATTCTGCGTCAGTTGTTTCAGAGGACATGTCTTTTTCTGCAGAGCTCATTCCACTTTTGGTTACTTTCTCTGAAGATGCAGGAAAACTTGAGAATGCAGAACTCAGGTCGATACTATCAGAGAAATACTCAGTTTCCAAACTTGATATTCTTGCTTCAGAATTAGACTCTGTGCTACTCCTAATAGATTCAACTATTTCATCCATTTTCAATGAAGTAATAATTGGAAATTCGGAGGTTTTTGTAATTGGTGAAATATCTGTTTCGAATGAGTTAAAAGTTTGAAACGAACTGACTGCACTTATATCTTCTTTGCTAATTTCGCTACTTTCTGAAGGAAGTCCTTCTGTTTTAGAGGTGGAAATTGTTGACGTATTCCACATTTCCATAAATGTGTTTAATTCCGTTAACTTTTCTCCTTCTTCCGAAACAGTCTCATTAGTTTCAGTCGTAACAGCCGTTGTTGAAAATATTTCGGGAGTAAAAGACTGACTACCCAAATTTTCTTCTGTTCCAACCATCGTACTTGGTTCCATAGAAGTGCGATTTAGAGTAAAGATTATTTTCGGAAATTCTGAATTCTCCGTGGTGATGCCATCTTTCATTTCTGATATTAATTCAGTGCTATTAATCGAAACTATGATTTTTTCATTGGTCTCTTCTTCTTCCATGGGTACCGAAACCCCATTTGTGCCCCCTATTAAGGGTGATGAGGTTGCATCGATTTCTGATTTAGTTGAAATTATTTCTGAAGATTTAGCTCTCAAATCTTCTGTAGTCATTTCACTTGAAGTTGAAGACTCAGATGTCAAAGTGAATTCGCTTTTAAGTTCATCTCCATTGGTTGGCAGCTTTTCCTCTGTAGTAGCTGATACCACCTTATCGCTCACAATCTCCACTCGTTCCGTTATTACCGAGGTTTCATTTATTTCCGAGTTCAGTTCTACATCTTCATTCTTTATCGGAGATTCAACATTTTCTTCGGTCGTATCAGTTCCCACTTCTTGTGTTAAATCAGTATTTTGTGTGATATAATTTGAATTTGTGGTTTCACTACTGCTTAATTCAAATTCTGTAGATCCGGATGATTTATATAAAATTGATGAAGTCAAAACCAGTCCTGATTCAGTTGCTACAGATTCCGTCAATTTAGATCCAAAATCTTCAGTACTTGTTTCGCCGAGGTTTTCTTTTGCAGTTTCAGGAACGGAAGATGAAAATAACTCATTCTCAATCTCATCAGTTCTGTTTTCTGATTTTTCGAGTATGTTAGTTGATACAGTCTCGCCATTCGTTTCCGCTGAAGCCAATTTTCCTACCGTTGAAATGGCCTTCAAACTTACTTCAGGTACAGCGGTTGTAGTGGAGGTCATAGTTAGGCTGAAGCTTGTGAATATATCATCGGCTTGAGTACGTGCCAACTCACTGAGACTTTCAGAGGTGGCTTCGGTTTCATTAGTTAATGTCACACTATTTTCAATATTACTGCTCTCTAGTTTCGTAGATTTCTCATCAGAACTGAGAGCTATGACATCCACTTCGGGAGTGCTCCCCAATTCAATCAAAGCACTGTTCTCAGCAGGTGCAGTAACTTCGATTTCAGTCACTTTTGAATTTGCAATCACCATGTCAGTAGTGGAATTTGTGCCTTCACTTTCCTCAAACAGTGTTGAACTCTGAGTTGAAATAGTGGAATCTGATATTGTCCTACTCTCCTCTTCATTTGCGTTATCAATTGAATCTATGCTTGAATATGTACTTCCTGGTGCATCATCGACACCACCAGATCCACTCGTTTGGCTAGAAATAGCTAGATCAGAATCAGTTATTGTCTCCACCGTTCCATTTACATTTGCTGAAGCAGACGTGCTAATTGAAAAGACAAAACTTGAATCTTTATCATCCGTAGACTCAGAGGACGATTCCACTTCAGTGACTGGTTCAACAGAGGATTTTATCCCAGTTATTCCATTTTCTAAGATAAATGTGCTATCGGTTTCATGCTCAGTTTTAACGGTCACCGTGAATATTCCATCTCGGTCACCAGAAAATACAGTATTCAAATCATCCTTTGTGGAGATGGCTTCAGTTGATGTGCTTTGCTCATATCTACTCTCACCAGTACTTGTTGTTAGGACTGCGACCTCCGCGGTTGAGGTTTCAATATCTTTCCCATTTCGAGAAGCCTCTTGAGTACTTTCAAAAGCAGTCAATTTTGATTCAGAAGTCGGTCTCAATTCGATTTCACCGGTTTCGATGGATGATATGTTTTCAGTTGTGATTTTAGTGGATTCAGTTAGAAATTTTTGATTTTCAATTGTCGTATCTGTTTCTGTAGTTAAATGAGTATTTTCGTCTGATTTAGGCTCCCTTGTTTCTACTGTTTTGTCACCAATAATCGTGAATTTGGATCTTTCAGTATAAACAGTAGATTCGTCCGCTGTTATAGAGACAGTGGACGTTGTAGTTGAGAAAGACTCTTCTGATACAATAATCATTGATGGAATATCATCCGTACCTACCGATACGAAAGATTCCTCGTATGGTTTTGCTGATTCAGCAGATAATGAAGATAATTTACTCGCATCTTCTATATTGAAAGTACTAGAATCTAAAATTTCCGTTGTAGGAATTTTGATATTTTCTGGAATTGCTGCAGTCCCTTCGGTAGAATTCGGATCGGTTGTCATGTACTCGGTTTCAAAAACCGAGTCTGAATCACTGGATTCCACAATTTTCACCTTTTTACATATTTCAATTAACTGTGTGGTATCTTTTACGTCTTTTTTGGAACTAAATGTAGGGATATCCGAAGATTGTTCTGTCAAGTCGACGGGTGAAGTGACAATTTCAGATTTTGAGTCCTGTTCTGTGGCAGTACTCTCCACCGATTCTTCAGTTCCTTCTGACATGCTTGGAGTAATTGGGATAGAAGTAGGAATTATTATGTCAGCTTCCGAAGGTGAAATCAATTCGCTTTCAGATTTTATAGGTTTCGTTGTTAATTGTTGGACTATTGTCTCTAAAGTGACATTATTGTTCGCCTCAGTAACTTTAAATTCTTCACCGGAAACCGAAAAATCTTTAAATACTGCCGTCGTCATTGTTGAACTAATATCTCCTAAATTCTCATTATAATCAGTGTCAGCTCCCTTGGTGCTCTTCTCCAGATTGTCAGGGTTTGATATGTCAGTCAACAGTGGTGTTGATTCAGTGGCGTTAAATAATATTTGTTTGAAAATATCAGCTATAGAAGACGTTTGATCTCTGGTTGAAAAAGTGGTCCATTTTGACCTCTCGACTGACGCTTTAAGGGCATCCGATTCGTCGCTAATGATACCGGTTTCTGAATTTAGAATAGCTGATATATCAGTGATTGATGCCAATGTTGTACTACTGTTTATATTATGTGAAGCAGTAGTTGAATGAAATTGATCGAATTCAGTCGCTTCCTCCAGCTTTGTTTCATTTTCGTTATCGTTGAAAATTAATTCACTTCCTTCTGCTTCAACAGATACAATAGTGGATGAAAACGTTGCACTAGAATCACTAGAAGTGACCCCTGGTGATTCCGATGCGGTCATTTTTTCATCAGCAACTTGAGACTCTGTTGTTAATATATTTGCCGTTTCATCAGTTTTTTTGTCAGCAGAATTCGTCTCTTCTACCAAAGAAATATTTGATGGAACCACTACTGTTCCTTCAATTAACACATTAGAGGCCTCACCATCGGATTTTCTTTCACTCATCACGGTAGTTGCGGATTCCATGGATCCGGATATTTCACTTGGCTTCTCATCTACTTTAACAGTACTAGATATTGGGACAACACCTGATTCAGTGGAATAGATTTCAAATATTTCCCTATTAGTATTTTCCGTCGTTTTAGTCGTTTGATTTTGTTCATTAGAGATAACTCCATGTGGTCCAGTTATTTGAGACAAAGAAGCTGTTTTAATATCAACCTCGACTGTGTGGGAGACTGGTGTTACGGTGATATCAGATTCAACTGTATCGGCAATTGTTGTGATCAAACCACTCAAATCTTCACTAGATATGATTTCAGATTCCGCTTGTTTGTTTTCAAAGTTTGTAGTTGATCCTTCAAATTTAGTTCCTGATAAGAGAGTGCTTATTTCCTCTTGTTTCGATACTCCAACTAATGAAGAAGTTGGCATGATTTTATCTGTCGATATGTCCTTGATAGTCAACGTCTCACTTCTAGTCTCTAAATCGTCAACTTTTTCAAAATAATCTAACGTTGAACCAGTTCCTGTAAGTTGAATTTCTATATTTCCTGAAACGGTAGTAATTTCTTCAGTATTAGCTCTTTCACTTGTAAATTCATCAACTGTTGTATCGTTCTTGAATTCAAATGACTTTACTGGTTCATTTGTGACAGGTACAGTGATTTTCATTCCTTCCTCTGAAATAAATTCACCTGGTTTGATGTCCTGTCTTGTGGATGTGTCTTCACTTTTAGCTTTGCTTTCAGTCACTACCACAGGATCCATTGTTTTAATCGACACTGTCGAGGGATCGGCTTCTTTTATATCAAATGCCACTGTAGTACTGGGCTCAGAATCATGAGTTTCGAAAACTGCATCTGAGATGGTAGTTTTTTCTTCACCGTAAATGACTTCAAAATTTGTCGCATCTGTAAAATCATTTGTAGGTATTTCAGATTCACTAATATTTCCCCGTTTGGCTGTTTTAGCATCAGTAAATAGCGTAGTTGTTCCAGAAGTTTCTTTCGTAGTTTTAGTTTCCCAAGTTTCTGACTGTTTGGTTGATAATTCACTTCTACCTTCTATAAAAATACTTGTCATATCTACTCCATTAGCAGTTTCTGTAGATATCACGCCTAATGCAGTTTTTTCATTTTGAGTTTCGGTTACGGTGTCAGAATGACTAGGCTGTTCTGAATTAGCTGGAAGATTGGTCATTCCAGCTCTGAAATCAGAAGAATCCGTGAATTCTTTCAGGGCGGGCTGGGAAGTAGTCGATATTATTCTAGCAGTCTGGTCAATCATTTCGGAATTTTCCAAACTAGTTTCAGAATCCACAGTTACGTCAGATGAGGTCGTTTCAATATTATGCTTGGTTGAAATTTCCTTGAATAATTCCTCTGGAGCCATTACATCACTAGTTGGCGTTACAACTTCACTTGAAGATTCGTCTTTAGCAATGAGCATTTCTGTAGCTTTTGTGGAAAAATCGATTTCACTTTCTTCTGTAGATAGGAAAGATTGAGTGGGATTAAATATTGCCCTAGATTCTCCATGTTCACCAAACGGTGATTGCGATGACGCGACATCCTCCCCAGCTGTTTTGTGCTCGTTTGATGTAGATATAGTTTCCGAAAAACCAAACGCAGTAGCAAATCTTGATTCATTTTGCACTTCAAATACTTTATCAGTAGGCAGAGCAGTGGTAGCTACTGAAGATTGTTTATCAATTGGCTTTTCAGGGCTTTCGCGATCGTTTATCTCAGAATCAACACCGTTTACGTCAGCAGGTGTCGAGTTTGCAAAATCTACATTGGCTTCTGTTCCAGAAATATCAATCGATTTCAAATCAGTACTCTTAGTCAATGTACTTAGTTCAACGGAAGAGTAATTTTTTGTTGTCATAGATGCTTCTGACTGAACAGCAATACCTACGTTATCTCTAGGGTTTTTACCACTATCTGGAACTTCTGTAAAAGTCTGTCCAAATGGTGTTGACGTTTCCTTTTCTAATACTGTAATTTCACTCTCATATTTAACCTTGAATTCACTTTCCTTTTGAACATCCGTGGTTGGCAGTTCAGGAGTGGTAGATGTAAACTCCGCAGATATCAGTATTGAATCGATTTCTTGTTCGGAATCGTATGAAAACTCTGTGACATTTTCCGTTAGTGTTGATTCCGTTTGAGTTGAAATGTATTTATCTGTTTTGTCTAAAATTTCAATTTCTGTAAGTGAATCAGATGCACCTTTAAGTGTTTTGCTAACTTCATTTATTGACGTGGTGGTTCCTTGACCATTATTGATTACATCAGATTCTTGGGTTCCCGTTGAGGCGGTTTCATCGAGCTCAGAAATCGGGCTTTGTTTGTTATCTGATGCAATTAATTCAACAGCTGCATTGCTCAAAGTCGATTCCGCAGAACTAAGTTTGCTTGGAATTAAAGTTTCAGATTTGAAACTTTCGGTAAATTCCGTTGTTTTTCCATCTTCAAACTGAATTTTGGTAGCTGAGCCTACTTGATCAGCGTTAATAATTAAATGAAAATATTCCGAAAGCATTTCATAAGCGCTCAGTAAGGTGTGCAATAACTGGGAAAGACTTGAATCAATCTCCGAATCAGTTATTGTCACATTTGTTTCTTGATCTATAGAGCTCAATTCGGATTCTTGTATAACACTGGATGTCTCAGATTCTAATGGTACAGCGGACAGAAATTCGCCTATCATCTCCGTGGTATCTTCATTTCCGGATAAACCATTTTTACTAGTGGAGGTGCCCTGATTATCTTGGATTTTCGTAGCCTCGGAAGTCGTAGTAACTTCAGCGTTTTCGACCCGACTGGTCCCCAAGGCCAAGTAAGTAAATGTCGATTTCAAGTGATCAAAGTCATTAGTCAAGCCCATTTGGATTTCCTCCTCGGTTACATCGATTGATTTTATATAACCCGAACCATGCTTAATAGATGCATCTGATGTTGTATATTCTACACTTGAGTCCTGACCCTCACTTCCTGATTCAGATGCACCAGATTCAGAAGTATTGTTATCGTTTACACCAGAACTATAATTAAGTTCACTAGTTTTTATTCCAGTAATTTCTTCATTTTCGGATGTCGGGATTTCAGATTCTTCATATTTCCTAATTTTCGTTGTATCGAAATCTGCTGTGGATGTCGAATCGGATTCCTTTTCATCGGAAATGAATATAGACGATGCCGTACTGGTTGCAGTTGGTACAGATGTATTTCTTTCTCTACTTATGTTACTAGTGGAAGCCGTTGCAGTAAGGTGAATTATTGGCTCCTCATTGCTTGAAGTCTTTAAATGGGTATCTGTTGTAACTTCAGCTGTGTTTGATGAAATCTCAGCATCATTCTCTCTAACAACTTTTGATTCATTATTGGCGAACTCGTTTACATAACCAGTTTGAATTGAAGTAGCTGAGAAGTTTTCAGTAGACATGCTAACAAAGTTTGTTCCCTCGGACTGTTTTGATTTATTTCCAGCTTCTTCGTTTGAACGCTCTGAGCCTATTTGTTCACTCCTTATTTCCAATGACTGTTCATCTAGTGAATGGGTATACATAGATACATTGGTAGACTCTATCTCAGGAGTTGAACTTTCTGATACGATTACATTCGCATCAGTATTTGAATTTTCATCTATTAAATTGGCATTTTTATCTTTCATGGGCGCAGTTTCATGGTTTTCAAGACCGTAAATCGTTGAGTCGGCAATAGTTATTGGCTCAAGTGGACTCCCTTCGGTAGTTGAGTCATTAGTTAAGCTCAGTCCAATGAGAGTAAATAATTTAGTCTCCTGTTCGAATTCTGTAATTATATCTGTTTCTAACTTTGCTGTTTTAAATTCAATTTCAGAGATTGTAGTTGCTCCAATAGTCGATTGTTCTCCATTTTCAAGACCAACTGTTGTTCTGAATTCAGTAGTATCTGATGTTCCAGTAGGAGTCTGATCTTGTAAAACAGGAGGCATTTTCTGTTGAGAACTCATTGAATCACCTTCAGTTATTTCAATGGTGTTAATTCTTTCAGTATTTTCAGATTGAGTTGTGGTTCGATCTAGTGGCGTTTTCAGCACATTTGTGTGTTCGTTTACTGGTTCGAAGGAGGATATTACCGCATCACTACTATTGTTAATATTTCCATCACGAGTTCTTTGGATTTCAGTTGATGGTAGTTGACTAATATTATCAGACATTATATATGAAATCGTATCAGAAGAAGCGTTTGAAGAATCCGTCACTTCACTAATATGGACATGCTGAGTCACATCAGAAAAAAGAACATCTGTTCCCGTTACCAAAGCTTTAGATACCAGAACTATTTCTTCAGGTAAAATTTCCTCTTTATTAGTGTCCTGCTTTCCTTGCGACATCTCTGTAGTCCCATCAACAGAAGAGGCTATATCCCAGTCACTTACAACCTCAGTCGATTGAGTTTGCTCCTCAGTCACAACCCTTCCGCCGTCGCCGTCTTGGATCGATGTGAAAGTTGAATCAATTTCTGTATGCTTTTTAATCACTTCCACAACAGCAGTCTGGGCGTTTTCAAAATTTGAGTCTGAAAAAGATATTTCAATCTCTCCAGTACTACTTTCCATATATCCACCTATTGCTTCTATGTTAGTAGCCTCGGTTTCATCAATTTCCTCCATTGCTGCTTGTTTCGCTTCTTCAGTAGTTTCTTCATATTCGATGGAACTCCTTTCATATTTATCTAAAGGGGGTAACGTTTTCTCCTCAACTTCAGAAACTATATTTTTAATAACTTTATTTACATTGCTACTGGAGCTACTACCAGTAATGAATGGTTGTAAAGTTGAGGAGGTAGTAGGCTTCTCACTGCTGCTTGACTCAGTCGATAAGTTGAAAACCCCCATTTCACCAATTCCTCCTGAGTCTTGAGTGGTTTCGATTTCTGTTGCGATTTCGATTTCACTAGAACTTTTCCCATTCTGGAACCCGTCACTAGAGGATCCTAGGTTTTGTTCTTTCAGTATTTCAGCTACATCATCTTCGGTTGTTATTTTCTCCTTCAGTGTCGTTTTTGGATTAACTAACAGTGTAGCCTCAGTAAAATCTTCAGTTCCCTGTAAAGGAACAACAGCTGTAGTACTTTGAACGTTATTAGGAGTATTTGATTTGTAAAGCTCTCTTTTGTCTCCGTGATTATACAAAATTCTACCATACAATTCACCAGTTGTCTTTCTATAAACCCCAATAGACCCATAAAGAGGCTCCAAAATTAATAAGAAATTTTTGTTAGTTAGCTTGAGTGGTATGGGAATAATTTTCTCATCTGGCATAATAATCTTGCTATCGATGATCTCTTTTGCATTTCTAAGTTGTCCGTTTTCAGGATCTTGAACAATCCAGTCACCACTTTGTGTGTCAATATGAACCTTGATGTTATTCCAAGCAATAATCGATCGAGTTGAATTGATTTTTTGGGGAAATCCCCTGAAAACATTCGATTTGTAGATGACTGTGCCATTATCTCTGTTCATAAGAAATGAATCCCCTGTTGTTAAATTCACAATGGAAATTGTAGCTTCAGGATCATCAAATGCACCAAATGTATGGCAAGTCTTGAAACTAGATCCATTTTTGAAATAAGCAGTGCCGTCTCGAATCTCTGAATCACTAAGAATTTTCCTTTGCTTTGGATCATAGAGATAAATTGTTCCAATTGTTAGGTCAATTGCAGCAATGTATTTACAAACACTGGTATCCCTTTCTGGAGATTGTGTTGACACAATGACATCCAGATTTGCAATGGGAGGCCTTGTTGAATCCTCGATCTTGCTGGTTATTGAATTTCCTTCTCGAGCATTAGTAGACTTAAGGCGGGGATCATAGCTTACCCGCCCATAGAGATGGCCGTTTGACTTCCTGTATACACTTATAGTTCCCCAATGTGGCTCAAGTGTAAGCGCATATTTTGGATTCCTAATCTTCAGTAAAATTGCCACATTTTCACCTGAGAGCAAGTGGATTGTTCCATTTTCAATTTTCTGAACTTCTCTAAAATCGTTGCCGCCCGGGAATTTTACTGTCCATTTACCACTCCAGGTGTCAATCATTGCAGAAGCATTCTTCCAAACAAGAAGTGGCACGACTCTAGGTATATTGTGACCCAACCGCAAACCGCTTGTTACATTTGCATAAAATGAACTCTTTCCGCCTAAGAGGTCTCGAAACTCCACATCCCCACTGCCCAAGTCAACAATGACAGTTCTTTGAACTGCATCATCGTCAACCTTTACAAAATTCTCACCGAGTCGAAAACTAGTCCCGTTGTTGAAATGCACTTGGCCATCTTTAACATAGGAATCCATTAGGATAGTGTATGTTTCGGGGTGGAAAATCCGAACAGTACCGTCAGATAGGTCGATGGTTGGGAAGTAATGACAATTGATTTGTGTTGATGAGCTAGTGTTGGGGAATGTTTGTTGTGTATGAGATGTCTAGTGCGTGAAATTGGAAAAAGGAAGATGAAGAGAGAAAAGAGTGGTGAGAAATTGAATTCTGCTTAGAGCAAAATGCAACTAAGTACTAATAATTGCAACAACATAGACAGCGTCTTACACTTGAGTACCTAATTAGAACTCAGAATAAACGATGTTAAAGCATGTGAAGCAACATTAAGTTAACTACAATATTTGCACAAAACATCAGCAAAGATGTCTCGCAAAATAATATTAATAATAGTAATAATATTAACAGCATTAACATAATTGCATTGAAAACAAATAAGTTATTACTCACCAAAACGTTACCAAAATCAGTATCGAAAGTCCACGATGATTCACCACTTTCTTCCTTTAGCTATAATGGAAAAAAAGAGAAGATTGATCTTTAAATTTTAATAATTGTAGAATATATATATATATATATATATATATATATACGGAATTGTACAGAGAAAATATGCAACAAATCTTGGAGAACAATAATTGAAAGTTCTCTCTAGAAATTCACAGACATGTACAAACACACACTGCGCTTCATTTAAACCGCAATTGGGACCACGAAGCCGCTGCGTATATATGGAAGCAACCATATTAATTCAATATACATCGGCACAAAAATATGCTTTCATCAGTCACAAATTAGAACTCGCACTTTTTCACCAAATTTCGATATAGCTTTCTGTCTCTAACTTGGAAATTATACTGACAATAACTTCGCACACATGTGTGCTAACTCACGACTTCTCACATTGAATGTTATAACGATCGTCGTCACAAAAGGACGAAGAAACTTCTGAGCAAAGTGAAGCAAAACACCATAAAAAACTCTTTATGAACTTTGCCAAGACGAAACACATAACACGATGCGTAGCAGACTGCTGGCTTGCAAAAGTCCGAAATGCACTCCTCGACTCGCACAGATCCAAGTTCGCAAACTGTCATAGCTAACCAGTGTGTGCCATGTATTGCCTGTAAGAATGGTGTGATGTGTTTCTTTCCTCCGAAATCTGTGAATGAGGTGCATATATTGAATTCATACACACACATGGAATCGCTGACCACTGTGGTAGCGAATAGTAGGCAAAAGAATGAAGGCGATCAACACTTGGCCACATATATGGCTCCCATTTCCCCCTCCCCTAATACACACATCAGAGAAATACCGAATTTTACTACTATACAATTGCCTGCAACCACCAACATCCATCTTCTACACCCCCCCCCCAAACACTCACGGGTCCTTACACGATGGAACATTGTGTATGTTGTAGGCGTTGACAGGAAAGACGTTAATCACTATGTTAGTACCTCAAAAGCCAGTCAGTTAATAGAGGGAATGTGGGTAGCTTCGGGACCTTTCCCATGGAAGTGTGGGATTAGTATGTTCCTAGTACAGGGGCTCTAATAGACACAATCGTGTTCATTCTAATTACATTCTTTGTCAGTAGTGCAACTGCCTTGTCAATGGAACTTCTTTTCAATCTACTTAATTTTGTGGATATCAGTCAGTATTCCTTTCCACATGAGACTGTGAAATTTAACTCAAACTCAAAAGATGTCTAAGACTGAGAAGTAAGAAATGAGTTAACAGTATTCGATTGAAATCCTATGCACTTGGTCTTTGTTTGTAGTTCTCTGTTATGCTTTAGAGAATAATGCTGATAAATTTGATTTGACCGCAACTCCCTATAATTCATTGTAGTGTAGCTCGGGGTCGAAAACTAATCGTGTGGAGGTTTCCCTTCAAAATGATAGTGTTTAGTCTAAATCAAACGCCATGTGGCGTTGCTCGTTATTGGTTGTACTTTATCTGAAGGTACCATCACGTCACTAATCTCCCCACCCCCACCTCTTTCCCTCAACTCCTCTTTAAAAACTAAGGCAGATCAACTATTACGTACCACAGTAAAGTCACACGTAGCCTCTATTCATGAGAAAACGTCTAATAATCTCAGAAATAACCAGTCATAAACAGGCTTGATGATATAAGTGGAAATAAGGAATTTAAATAGAGGGAATATGAAAATCAATTTGACCATCTCTTATACAACAAGTTCTTTCTGGAGACCGTCTACCCTAAAACATTTCAATTAGAGCAAAATTATTAGAATCTTAACCAACGTAGTCGGCTATTTTCACCAGAATTCAATGACGATTTATAAAGAGGGATGGACGATTGTTCAAGATAGCGCAAAAAGATATAACATCTTGATTATTTTACCTTTCTCAATTAGAGACGCTGGTGATATTTTTCAGCAAACAAAGATAAATTCCACTATTTTTTCCCCGACTCATTTTGCTTTTCGTTCTTATTATCTAATGAATTTCGCCTATAGTTTTGCCTGGAAATAATATGAACACCACCTCTGAGAATTTAATTATCGATTTTTCAGCTTAAGTTCTAAATCATGTTGATAGATCAATGTAGAAGTATCAAGAAATTTAGCAAATGAGGGAAAAAGTTTTTTACCTCAATTGGTTTGCACGGCGCTTTTAGGGCATCTTGTCCAGTGTGGAAGGTGAATTCAGTCAGAATACCCTAGAAGTAAATCAAAGTTTTATTTAGATCGTCATTGTTATTGATATGCAGTCCATGTTTTATAGGCAACATAGACGACCTACTTGGAAATACAAAGGGTTTGACTTGAGACCACTATTGAGCATGAATGCTGAGGCACCTTGTCTGAACAGAGGTCTTCCCAACAATTTGATGTCGTGTTCTTCGTGGAAAGGTGCAGGTTGCATATTAGGACAGTTTGTGTAGAAATCAATCTGAGATTTGAATGCAAAATAGTTAAAACAACAGTAATAAACAAACAATGGTGATTTTCAGTGTATTCAATGGTGAGCTAATATAATTTAACATTATTATTCATATTCTTATTATTCTTATTTTTATTTCGTCATTTTAATACTCTCGATATTGTTCCCATCCCATATTCTTTTGATTTTTGATACAACTCAGTTTCTAAAACATCAATTCCTATTTTTTTCGCATTGTCCAATCATAGCTTACAATTAACACCATTATATCGGGTGTGCGATAGACTTACCTCCACGTGGGTAACGTATACTCATACGGCAAAAAATCTATTAAACAGCAGTCGAATTCTGACTTCAAACTACCATAACCCCACTTGTACGTCATATTCGACATCTTCCACAGTACCCACCTCACATTTATTTCTACCTTTTCTATGTTCGTCTCTGAAACACTCTTCTATTCTCTCCACCCCCCCCCCTCTCGACTTTTTTCCCCTTTGATGTTCCTCCTCCCCTCTGTGAAGCCTGAAGTCAACTAAAAGGCTAATGATGACCCCTCTGTGAAGCCTGAAGTCAACTAAAAGGCTAATGATAGCCATCAAAACTCCTGCCAATTGATATAAATAAATATCTTTTAATGCTCTTTGGAGTTCAATAGCCGTGGAATAAAGGCAATCACAGCCTTATTTATTCTCCCTAAACCTTTCCTTCTCAGACGCTTTTTACAATGCTATGCCCTCCTTCCCAACCTGTGATTTAATTAACCGGAGGAAAAAGGAAAAATTTATCACTGAATAATAAATAGTTGTGGTTCATTTTGTGCTTACGCTACAACATTATTCGTGCTAACTTTGTAGGCTAAAGTAGGAAAAAATTCCAAAATGGAAAGAAGTGAATTCATTAATAATTAAAATTAGAAAAGTTTAAAAGTTATCGTGTTAAATCAAAACACATATTCGCAAACATACGATTTTGTTAAAACATATATCATCCTGATTTCGAAGGTGACAGAGATGACTCTTGCAACCAAAACACATCAATTATACTTGATTCTTAATGGAATTCCCTTCATTCAAACAAAAATGATACTAACTGACACTGAGAACTAAAGGAAATGTTTAAACGAGGTAGTAAGTGGAATTTATCAATCAAATTATAAATTAAATCTGGTTTTATTCGTTTAACTATTGAAAAAAATCTTGGTGTACAAATTTAAAAGCTTTGGAGAAGACATTGAAAGAATAGTTGTCCCTTGGACGCATTAAACAACGGAAAAAGTGCTGTACCTAATATTTTACCGTTTTAAGCACAATAAGAGACACTCTTGGTTACAACGGCACATATCGAGTGGTTGTTCAAAGAGTGAAAATTCAAAATCTCACAGACCATATTTTCATGTCTGTTCCTCTATCGAAATAGTCGCGCATTCTCTTCTCGGCTATAATTATGCTAACCAGATTTATACATAAGCGTTTATAATAAAATTAGGAAAAGCATGCACAAACAATAATCATATTTGCAGAATTATTTGTAGTAACTACCTGTATTTGCAAAAGTCAAAAATGTGTAACAGGTGTATTTTAAACTACGTCCATTCCTTAAGCGTGGCATAATTTTTTTGGAAAACGATAAATTATATAGAGATGTTTATTGGTGGAGCACGTGTCAAACCTCCTTAAAGTAACAGCAAATGAAAGCGCTATCTGCCTCCATTCAAGAGGCAACTTAGAACGAGCACGGTGTAGGGAACAACGAATTCATTTTATCCACCAAAAAACTTGGAGGAAGATCAACACATTATCCTACTTGTAGTTAGTGTCAATCCAATATGGAATATGCACACAAGGCCAATTTTAAAATTATAGTACGCTTTTTTACTTGGCCTTGGCCTATCACTTTCGTGATATGTTAAAGTTGTATGCTGAGAAATGTCTTTTAAGGCCATTGGGGGGGGGGGGAATGATTTAAGGGACAGGACCTATCCTACTTAAATAAATAATATTAACCAATAAGCACTAGAAGTAGTTGACAAGCTTCTGTTGTAATCTTGACGCGAAATGTAAAATTTTAATTGTAAAATGTGAACAGCAAGTTGTAAAACTCGAGAACAAAATCAAGTGCAGAAGGACATCTTGTGGCTTCATTTTTGACTTCTTCGTCATTTGAGTATCCACCATTTTGGTATTTGTTGGAATTTCAGTTATTCGTTGTCAAGTATATCCCCCCTCCCCCTCCAAATTATATTCCTTCCTCCCCCACACAATTACTAACTGACTCATTGTGAATCATGATAATATTAATAATAGGATGACTAAACAAAAATCAATTCGTTTTAATGTTTAGAAAGCATTGCTAATATCGGATAATGTCTTGTAAATCTCACGAAAACTGTCAAAAATAAAGAAACAAAGTACGAATTCTTATATAATCGCTGTTGGCTGGAGAGTTAGCAAGAAAATACAGTGTGAGTAGTTAAAAATTTGTTAAAGATGATTCTGTTCTAAATAGTAGAGCTAATGAAGGTGGTTCTTATGGAACGCTCAACCGGTGGGCTACTTCAATAATCGGTAATAATTTGATCCGAGCAAAACGAACTCTGGCCTTTATATGAAACACCCAAGAATAGCAAAGACATTGGATTGTGGTGAACTTTCTGATTTTCTTAACTTGAAATCAAACAGAGGCTTTCCCATTTTTTGGAGTACACATAGCAGGAAAATCGTGGTTTAATCATTACGTAATGAGCCTTTATTAAATTAATGACGCATTTCACGAAAGTTTTCACTAATACTATTGGAGACTATTGGAAACTTTAAAAAAAACAAACTTTAATTTAATTGGTGCTAAAAAAGTTACAGGGTAATAAGGCGTCCGGATATCCTTAATTCATAAACTATTTTTAACTTGCATCAGAACGAAATCAATCTTCCTACAGCAGGAAGCACTTTGAAAGTGAATAATTGAACCGTGAGCTTAAAATTAAAGCAAAACGACAAGCAAGCAAACGCACTACATCAAAATAAAATCAATTTTAGGTAGACCAGTCATTGACCAGAAAGTTTAAACAAAAAGTAAACGATACCCAGATAAGTCGGATCTTTGATCGAAATTCGGCATTTATTACTCCGTGTGTGTGTGCCAAATAGACCGTTCAATCTTTAATTTTAATATTCGATACGCATAATCTACCTAGGATCGGTTAGACGCGTAGTTTTAAAACTTTAATTGCACCAAATATCCTAAATGACAAAATAATTATTATTATGGTATGAGTAAAACATTAATTAATAATACTGTTTAAAACCGCAAACCTAATACCTTGAATATCTTTCATTGAGAAAAAATATTCCAGGATTTAACCTAAGTAATTTTTAGTTAAAAATCATGCTAAATGCTATGTTCTGAGGGTGTTAGTAAAAAGTATGAAATTATCCGTAAAACCGTCTTTCTAATATTTGCTATTAATTTACAAGCCAAATTTAGGAATATCCTAAATTTAAAAGTTATCTCAACTCGGTTCAATTTCTAGTACACTACATGCATCGTGTTTATGAGGCTTGAAAAATTCCCTGAAAAACCCAATATCTATTACGTTTTTAATGATTGAGTTCATACGTCTAAGTAAAAAGATGTATCATTTTGCTATATTTCTCCGCAATTAGAAGAAAGTTTAAATACGATAAGGAGAGTTTATTCTCGATAAATAAAAATAAGAATTCGGTTTTTTCCTGAATTTTTATATGAAGTAATTAAATATTGAAGACGTACCGAGTTTTCCCTTATCCAAATACCGAGTCTCCAGTACGATTGAGATTGCGCGTATGGAAATTCTATCGTTTGTTCTCCCTCAGTTGAATCTAACGGATTGTATCGCATTTGAATTCGATACGTTGAGGTCTGAAAGGACAATGGTAACGGATTTAGGCAAATTTGGACTTGTATTCCTTTTACACCATTTCAAATATCAGATTGAGATATCTAAATTGACTATTCGCCAGACTAGAAGCCTACTTTGTTCAGAGTACGTTAAGTCTGTCTGGTTAATGCAGACCTGCCTCCGATCATACGGCAATGAAGCTTTGTTCAGGATTATCTCTGGTACCTTCGTCCCAAACGATGTTGCAGTTGTTCTTTATGCCACGCTTTATGATAATAATTGGTTTAGTGACCCAGTTTGACTTCTAGAGTAGTTTTAATTCACCTTTAATATGTAGAATCTTCTTGACAAAGCTTGATTGGGGAAACGATATATCAAGCAAACTCTGCCAAATATGCGACTGCATGCAATCTCGAATATGTTTTCCAAAAACAATATTTTATGTTGGCGCGGAAATAAAACAGTTAATTACCTTGTACATAGATATAGAAAATCGAAGAACACCGTCAGGATCTCTAATGGTAAGGAAGTAGAACTCGTCGAGGGTTAGATTGGGTTGGAAATTGAGTTGCATGTAGAGAGTTGTATCGGGGAATTGTTGGTCGTCAAAGAATGTTTGTGCTGGAGTCGAATAAAGTTCACCATCACTTGGAGGTTTAATTTCCATAGGGAAAACAAGATCCGAACTCATTGCGGTTAGACCATATTTCCGATTTAATTGGAATGGAATATCCCAACTGCTCCCTGTAATAAAAATAATATTTCTATACAGCCAATAAAATGGGTATTATATATATATATATATTTTTTTAAAACAATAGAACGAATAGGAAAAGAAACGAATTATTTGGGAGGTAAAGTAATTAGTGTTTAGACGGAATTAGGCGACTGTATGTATGAAGCAGTGATCGTGTTTCAGTCAAATTTATCTCATGTATTAAATAGCGTCTCTTAATATTCGCAAGGAATTTGAAGGGAAGCTCAGCTTCTGAAGCAAGTACCAAGCAAATTTCCAATAAAGATATTTCCAACAATCGATGTCGATATCTAGGAGCGTATGAAAGCCATAAGAGTGAGAATATGTCCATTGCCAAATAAATTATGACATTTGTATACACTTAATGACCACCATTTATAGGGGGTTTGACCTTTTCAATAGCACCCCCTATTGTACCCATGTGATTACCTCAAAAGGCGAAAATAATCTAGCAGAAAAACAGTATTAATACTGGCAGGAATGGAATAAAATTATTTATTTTTTCCATTTCTATTGCAACCTGATAATTCCATTTATTGCCAAACGGGATTCGTAAATACTTAACATAGCATTTAATCATGGTAATAAATGTATTTACATACACTTTAATAATTGAATTAAGAACTGACGATGGTGTCGTTTGGCACCCACTCATAGTAATAAGTTAGAAGAAAGCGGTTTGCAATGACGAATTGCGGAATCTGATTAACGAAATCTGAATATGACGGCATAACCTTAAAATTATGTGCCCTTTGTGAAATGGACACTGAGATCTGCATAAGTCAAAGCATGGAAGACTTCATCCTGACTACACTGTCTGCTTCCTCCTAATTCTATTTCCTATTTTATATTTTATTGAATCGTTCCTCAAGGTCAAAACTAATATAACTAATGGTAAGGCGTAGGTTTAAAGGAGAAATTTACAGCAAAAAATAGGACATTCAGTGGAGAATGATGCAGTTTAAATACTACACACGTTTTATACAGTTCTGTATGCTGGAAGAGCAATGGGTTTTTATGAGTCATTGATTCCATTCCAAAACTACTATCACAAACACTATCTATTTACCCCATATATTTACAATCAGTTAATTTGTGTCGAATATTTTTTAAGTATGTTTCTTTAAATTTTCACTTCAAGTTATCAATGTTCTGTTTTAACGCATTAAATATGAATTCTAAAATGGTAAATCGGTTTGAATAAGGAGCGACAATTCAACTGGCTGACTATGCCATCCCACCTTGCAAAAATTAATTAGTCATATTGATTAGTCAGATGTTCGCGAGGGAGGGGATGAGAAACGTTGATGAATGCCGGAAAATCTGGGGAATGCGGACTATTATCTTTTAGGAGTTTAGGCACAAAAAGTGGACAGGGTCGGTGGTTGACCATAATTTATAACACCAAGGCAGAACTGCTGACACAAAAACCGCCTGTTGAACGATAGTCCATTCAGTCACTGTCAAGGTCAGCATTTTAATTTTGATTGACACTTATTTACTTTGTAATTCCCCTCATTCGTCATGATAGCTTATTAAGAAATATTATCCTATAGAAAATAAATGAAAAATATTTATTTATTTATGATCTTATTCTGTGACATGTTTACTGATTTTACTGAAATTTTTAATATTAATATTTTTTATAACCTTTCCCTATTCGACACAGATTTCTTCATATATTCACATCTACGCTGATTGTGAGGAATAAATTTCTCAAGAATAAAATTAAAATTAGTAATTAGTAAACTCAGATTTTTAAAACCTTAATTTAGTAAGAATAATCGTACTCGCCCTACCAATTTTTGACTAATATAAAATATATTAGTTTAAGTTAGTTAAAATAGGTTAGTCAAAATTCTTCCACGATAGTACTTTTAAAAACTGGAGGCAAGAGTTCTTCCTGCTCCAATCATAGCCAATTTTGAATAAAAAATGTGCTTTTTATTTTCATTTCTCAAACAAAGACGTTTTAATTCAATAACATAATACAACGTACGTGTTTCAGACGAAACAAGGCCAACAAAAGCAAAGAGAAGCAAAATCCACTGACACATTCCCATTTTGGATGACTGAATTGTTGGGTATAAGCAAATGAGTAGAGAGTGGGGAGTTAATCCAGTCAATGAGTGGTACACTGCGGCACCCCACTTGTGGAGTTACGTATTTGTTCCACCACCGGCCGGTCAAGTGGGTTAAATGGGTGTCCAAAGTGGTGCTGGTACTCTATTGGCTGTTGCACTAGTATGCGTGGGGTATGTGTGACCCAATGAGTGTGTGTGATCTTTTAGGTTAGATTGTTGCATTTGGTCCTATTGGTTGGTGGGGGAAGATTATTCAGAGTTTCATCTGAAGTATACTTAATCTGTTTATGATAACATATTTTTTATACAATACACACTATTTATGATTATTACTTCCAGAGACAAAATAAAATTAACACTTTTACTCTGACTAAGCACATGATTAGTACGAAGCGTTGGATAGAGTCAATGTAAAATCGGTTTACAATATCGAAAAAATAAAATAATCTTGTGTTCCTGTTCATGACATTAAAAAAAGGCCTTTCTGGTAACACAATGATAGAATTTAATGGTATCCTGGTTGGCCATGACGTCACGTTTCATTTTTTACATCCCTAAATGCATAATTGCCTTCTGTTTTAATAAGTTTGTCAGACGCACAGAGAAATAGTTACATCCCCTTAATAAATTGAAAAGTTCAAATTATTGAACATGGTATTACTTTAAAGCAAGAACGTAAGATTTACATAGCACAATTGCAGTTATGATCAACTTCCTAATTTTGTTTGATTGAAACCCCTTTCAAAGCATCCAAAATTTATTTATTCTTAAATTAAGCTTACGCATTTGTTTCAACAAAAGTTTTATGTATTGAAACATAATAATTATTCTTGATTTCCAATCGACCACGATTCTATTCTTTACAGTGTAAAAATCAACCAATAATAGTGACTTTTTAACAAATTGGAATATGTGATTAAGAAGCATTTCCATAATCGTGCTAAAAGCAACACAGGATAAATTTGAGTTTCCTATGATGAATGTACATCAAAATTGGAATATTGGGTTGTCTATCCACTTCCATTCTGCAATTAGTGACAGAATTGGTGTCGATATCGAATGCATTTTAAAACAGATCGTCTCGGTGGAGCTGGTACAGACGTGACACAAATATTTCTGGTTTACAATTAACCAAGTAAATATTTAAGTTAGTTGCACTGGGTTGTTAAAGTCTCGATTTATAGCGGTGCCATTTATCAACCGAAAATATTCGTTTCAGTGAACCCACAGCGCGGCTTCCGTGAAAGCTTGATTAGGGTTTACGCACCTAGTATAAACAGCAAAACAAATACTTTTAATTGATAAATAATTCGCGGCTTTGCAAGTATACTGAAATAATGTTGAGACAGTCTTTGTAAGATTCCCATAAGCGATTAGTATTTAACACCTCGAGGGTTTCAGTAAAATCAAGCTCTCTTATCCCCAAAAAACCAACAGAGAACCGCAAACGAAGACCAAGTGCTAAGGTAATCAATTGAATTGTGTCTTAGATATTCTGGGTGTTTGAGTTAAATTTCACAGTCTCATTTGGAAAGAGGATACTGACTGGTACCCACAAAATTAAGTAGATTGAAAATAAGTTCCACTGACAAGGCAATTACACTACTGACAAAGAATGCAATTAGAATAAACACGATTGTGTCTATTAGAGCCCCTTTACTAGGAACATGCGAATCTCACACTTCCCTGGGAAAGGTCCCGAAGCTGCCCACATTCCCTTTATTAACTGACTGGCTTTTGAGGTACTAACATAGTGATTAACGTCTTTCCTGTCAACGCCTACAACATACACAATGTTCCATCGTGTACCGACCCCTGTGTGTGGGGTGGTAAAGAAGATGGAGGTTGATGGTTGGGGGTGGCAGGCAATGGTGCAACTAATTTCGGCTTTTCACAGAGGTGTGT